CTGCCCACTAGCGTTTGGGAAGTCTTAATTCAGACCAACAAAGACAGCGCGCAGAAGTATAAATGCAAAGCTACGCGCGTTGCATGCGCTGTGGGTCATGCCGGTCACTTGACGCAGAAGTATAAACCAGGATTTAGCGTGACTCTAATCAGCGCTGATTGGTCCGATGACCCAGTTGTGATTGGTCAACTGCGTTTAGCGCATGATAGAGAGAAATGTCCACCATGGCTCATTAACAGTTTTGAAGTAGTCAGAGTGCAGAGTTTATGTGCGAGCATACATGCCAACACTCCCGTTTTTCCTGGGAGTCTCCTGTATTTCAAACCCATCTCCTGCCACCCTCACGTTTTGTTATCTCTTCCGGGAAACGTCCGTAATTTGTTTTTGTTTTTTTGTAACATGTTTATTTAAGGTTATTAAAATGATTGTACAATGAGCTTTTACATACATAGTCAAAGAAAAAAAAGTTTTACAAAAAACATGTTCAATGGGTTGTAGAAATTATAGTAATCCTTAAAAATAAGCCAACAGATAGATGAAGTTAAGAGGAAAAAAAGGGAAACATGATACCATCTATAAGTACTAATATTGACTACCATTAAGTCACATAGTCTCTGGAAAGGCACATAAAACTAAACATATTTTCCTCATCACAGCACATTTCTATAAAATAGACATGCCATTTGAAACAAGAACATAAGAACTGAACAAAAGAAAATAAAAAAAACAACAAAAGTAACAAACAAACAAACAACAAAAGACCATTCCCTGAGCCTCCGACAGCCTTCCTCCACAAAAAAAAAACTAATTGACACACAAAACCATTTCTCTTACATGTGAGGGCAGGTGATCTATAAAGGGAGACCAAATATTTTGAAAACTCTGTATGTTATAATTAAGCACAGCTGCAAGCCTCTCATGGGGGAAAACTGCAAAAATCTCTCTGTACCATTGTGTCACAGTGGAGGGAGTGTTTTTTATCCATCTGATAAGGATGCATTTTCTTGCCACAAGCAGCAGTTTATCTAACAATTCATAACCTGTTGTGTCAAGGGTCAATGATATTGCTTGTGTTTTCATTGTGATCTTAAAAATTGTGCTAATTTTATGCGCAACAAAGTTTCAGAATATTGAAATGAGTTTGCACTTCCAAAAGCAAGGAAAGTATGTCCCGGGCTCTGTATGACACTTAACACAAAGAGCTGGTATAGAAGGATCCATTTTATTCAATAAAACTGGCGTTATATGCAGCCTATGTAAAATCTTATATTGAGTCTCTCTTTAAGGGTGGTTTCACATCTGTAGTTCGCTTCATTTGGTCCAGACCAAGCGCAATAAATGATACATTGTTGCATCTTCTGCCGTCTTTGGGTCGTTTTCACACCACACTGCTGGCTTTGGTCCGAACCAGTTGAAACGATCCAAAATGCAGTCATCTGACAAAATCCACATCTCTCATTGGCCAGATGTTGTTAAACATATTTCCTAAACTGCTTATTGATTGGTCAGAATTCACGTGCGGGAAAATGCCAGTGAACTCCCGCAGGTAAACAAAACCTTTTACTCTGGAGGGACGACTGCGCTGGCTGATTGTATCCCTGCTTTAGACAAACTATACATTACGAAAATGAAGCGCGGCCGCGGCTGGAAAACAGTGTTTAATGCATCGCTCGTCACTTCAGGAGGAGCCGTTAATAAATTTAGCTAAACTGCATCTTGCGGAAATATTACCAACGATCCATCAGGTAATGTTTTCCCCTCTCTCTCTCTCTCTCTGTTGGTAAAGCACTGTCAACAAATATTTTTCCTCCATATCCCATAATGCACAGCGCATTAGCCTACGGCAGCTGAATTAGTCCAAAACGTGCAGTACTTTTTGCGGTTGGACCTGTTTTAGTACGGATCATATTCTCACCACAAACGAACCGCTCCAGGGTTTGTTTGAAAGCGTATCGAGACCACCTCTTCAAACAGGTCTCGGTACGCTTATTTGGTCCGATTTTGGTGCGCACTCGAGTACGATTGCTGCATTCCCACCTGCCCAAACGAACCGTACCAAAAGGGGAAACGAACTCTAGTGCGATTCAATCGAACTAAATAAGGCAGGTGTGAAAGCACCCTTAAGTCGATCACAAATAAAAGTGGATCTAAGGGTGCCTTCACATCTGTAGTTTGTTACATGTGGTCCGGAACAAGGGCAATAAATGATACATTGTAGCAGCAGTTCCATTGGCATTTTCCTGCACGTGAATTCTGACCAATCCATAAGCAGTTCAGGAATTATGTTCAACAACATCTGGCCAATGAGTGATGTGGATTTTGGAGAAAACAGAGCACCCGGAGGAAAACCACACGAACGCAGGGAGAACATGCAAACTCCACACAGAAACGCAAACTGACCCAGCAGAGGCTCGAACCAGTGACCTTCTTCTTGCTGTGAGGCGACAGCACTACCTAGTGCGCCACTGCGTCGCCCCTATGTATTCTATCATTTAAAGCTAATTTTCTCCCTATATTTGTAACAGTTACAATAGGCTTACACACACACACACACACACACACACACACACACACACACAATTAAACTGCTCCTGATGAACAGATTAAAGAGTTTGGGGTTATTTTGGTAGTGGGGTGTCCTGTATTTTTCCATCCAAATGGTATGGTACATAACAATATCCATGACTTCTATAGCTTTTTTTCCCCTACATCTGGGAAAATATTTTCTCCAGTGCACAACAGATAACAGGAGCTCTTTCATTTTTATAAAAGCTGATTTTATAGGTGTATCTTTATTTGCGAAATGGCAGTGAAACTAGACGGCAGGACTACATTGCTTTTTATTATCCTCCAATTGTCTGTGCCAAAGCCTTGAGCAGATCCCCCTACCTGCATGCTGCTGACTAAATCCTTATTGAGGTCCCTCAGGCTCTGACTACAACAGTGAGAAAACAGGCCATCCATCATTGTTAGTCCTCTCACAGCATGTGAGAAATCCAATCTACTTTTGGGTGAATAGAATGGGAAATTCCTCTGGGAGTTCATGCGTCCCTGCTTACACTTTCAGCACAATGACGAAGAGCTCATAAGCTTATAAACCGTATAGCCATTTCATGTTTGTGTTTGAGGCAGAGGTGTGCTTTATAAACAGGCAGAAACAGGTGCCGTTTACACTAGTGCGATTTCATTTGAAAACATGTTTTTTTGTGTGTGTGTGTGTGTGTTTTTTTACAGATCTACAGACTGGCGTCTACAATGCTCCGGCATCTTCGACCAATGAAGATGATGCGTTTTGAAAATGCTGAAGGCCACATTTTAGTTTGGAAATGCTGGTGTTCCATCGGAGTATAGATGGACTGAAATGCAGTATAGATGCCAGCAGTGTGATCAGTAATGTATCGTTTAATGGTGCATCATAATATCGAGAAACAATAATAAAAAGCAAGTGACAATGCATATTGCTGATGTAAACAATATGATTGTAATATTGAGCTCATTTAATCCAAGTTAGCTTTTTTTTTTAGGTATAATTATATTTTTATAAAGGTATAATAATGCATTTTTAAAGGGCCATGAAACCCCCTCGTTTCAGCAAGGTGTTTTCACACCTCTACTTTGGAAAAAGTCAGAAAAGCGGATTTCAGCGTTTGCAGATGAGAACAGCTCTCAGGTAAACAATAATCCTCCTTAGACACGCAAGTTATTGTTGTCGCGCGTCGCGTACACTGTTAATCCACACGTGACTGAGCTCTCACAGAGAGAAAATGAAAACGAAACTTAACTGCAGCAAACTATAAAAGCAACACTTCATGCTTGTTTTGCCAACACAACGTGGCGTCTCTGGTGTAAACAGTGACACTAATGAATATTAATGAAGTTGCAAAATAGAGCGCGCTGATTGGTTTGAATCAAGCCTTACTCATGCATTAATGCAGCAGGCTGTAAGACGTAATAAGACTCACTCTGGCACAGACGCCCAGTCTGCATGCTGGAATACACGCTATTATGTCATGACCGTGACGCAGCTTCAAAAATTTGTTTCAAACAGGAAGTACGAATTTGCTTGAAATAACGCAAAAACAATCAATTTACACTTTTTAGTGAAATATAGGTGTCCTAATAGTGTTTTTAGCAGTGTGGGACACATATACGACTGTCAACAGCTCAAAAAATGTGTTTTGGTGTTTCGTGACCCTTTAAGCTATAATTCACTTGTAAATCAAGGTGAAATTTACATGTATACTATTACAGCTGAATGATATTTTAACCTAAAATAGCATTTGAGATTTAACAAAAGTTGCAATTGTCTTGCACATTATCTGAGGAAAGTAAGATGTTATCAGTAGTAAATTTCCTCTGAAGACCAGAAAGAGCTCTCTCCCTCCCTCCCTCCCTCCGTGCTTTCAGGTTTAACATTACCAATATTTACTACAGAAGGTTGTAGATCAGGGGTCACCAAACTTGTTCCTGGAGGGCCGGTGTCCTGCAGATTTTACCTCCAACCCTTATCAAACACACCTGAACAAGCTAATCAAGGTCTTACTAGGTATACTTGAAACACCCAGGCAGGTGTGTAAAGGCAAGTTGGAGCTAAACCCTGGAGGGACACCGGCCCTTCAGGACCAGGATTGGTGACCCCTGTTGTAGATCATCGAAAAGCTACGCAAACAGCTGTTAATAAAAATTGCAGAATGATTATTTGTGATCATTTTAGTTTTATTATTTAACTATTGCGTGATGATATCATATGCAATAGTGTTTCCTCTAGGATTTTTTCCAACTGTGTTGGCAGAAAATATTGTATTGTGAGTTCAGCATGAAGATAAATATCGAACTGTTCACACTATACAGTGGGGGAGGTTACAGTTACAAAGCAGAACATTAATAATCTGTTTTTAAATCGCCAATATGGATGAGGAGGGTTTTCATTTTAAAATGCCATAATAAAGCTAAAACATAACCAGTGTGTGTGAGCTTATGGCTATATTCTCATTACTCACCAATCTGGTTTTGAATTTTGAAGGCGATGTCGAAATGGAGGATCAACAACAGGAACTGAAACCAGGTACTCATCTCTGTGTTGGGCGGGGGAATGTGGATGGCAAACACGATATTGTTAGCCTCGATTTTCTTGACCATGGCCTCATCAAAGTCTTTGATCTTGCTGCACTGGTCCGGGCCCCATGGCGTGAACCACTTGGGGTTCTTATGGTGGGTCTTCTCATTGTCCACACACTTGGTGGCCAGATAGGAAACGGCAGCGGTGGGGCTCGGAGCTGTGAAAACAGATTTATAGATTATGATTATGAATAAATTATAAGGGTGTCACGATCCTAGAAATCCTCTATTCGATTACATTTTCGATTCTAAAGGCACGATTCGATTTTCGATTATGAATAATTAATTAATTAATAACAAATTAATTATTTGTAGTCTACCGTTTAACCTACCTGACCTGTATGGTCTTTGTTTTACCCATAAACAAATCATACAGTAAATGAATAAAGGCAAGTTACACACATTATTACCACCTGTCAATCACTTTTTTCTTGTGAATAGGCAGTGATCTGTGTCGTTATAATGGAGTCGGTAAAAAAAGGTGCACAACCAACAGGAACCAGCCAACAGTATCTAAGGTGTTTGCTAAAATGACTAAGTACTAGTGTGAAAGTAAAAGATTGAAGCAGTCTTAACTAGGTTAATTAGGTTAACCAGGCAGGCTAGGGTAATTAGGCAAGTTATTGTATAACGATGGTTTGTTCTGGAGACAGTCTGAAAAACAATTAGCTTAAGGGGCTAATAAATTTGACTTAAAATGGTTCATAAAAAATTAAGAACTGCTTTTATTCTAGCCAAAATTAAACAAATAAGACTTTGTTCAGAGGAAAATATATTATCAGACATACTATCAACTTTTCCTTGCTCTGTTAAACATCATTTAGGAAATATTTTAAAAAGAAAAAAAACAACAAAGGGGGGGCTAATAATTCTGACTTCCACTGTATGTATATATATATATATATTTACAGTAATTTTTAAAATGTTTTTAAGAAAACTTGTTCAGTTCATCAAGGCTACATTTATTAAATGTAAAAAATGTTAAATTGTTGAATATTTATCAAAATTTTAAATAACTGCTTTGTTATTATATGTAGTTTCAAATAAAATTATTACTCCAGACATTATTGCTTTTGTTACTATTACCATTAATAAATATAATAATAATTAATATTAGGGATTTCTGAAGGATCATGTGACTGGAGTAATGAAGCTGAAATTTCATCTTTAAAATCACTGGAATAAATGAATAAATTAAATGATAAACTACTTTTGAACAGTTATTTTATAGTGCAACATTTCATAATTTGTATTTATGATGAAATAATTGCAGCCTTGGTGAGCAGAAGAAGCTTAGTTTAACATATTTAATCATACTGACCCCAAACTTTTGACCAGTTGTGTATAGAATATTTTATAAGCAAAAATGTGCACTTTAATTTTAACAACCCACAGACATCGTCACCAAATATAAAGCAGAGGTCAGACTTTCTCACAAAGCCTCATTTCAATTTTCAGGTTTTGTAAAAATTGATCCATTGAATTAATCAATCTATTAAAGAAACGTTGGCTAGAATTTTGCATTATAGGCTTAAATTATAGAGACATAGCAGATGAACCGAGACTGCATCAGATCAATGTAAATCTTTCTTTCGAGCTGTCAGTGCAGAAATAAACAAAACAACAGGCCTAATACAACATATTATACGATTAAAATATGGACAAATTAACAGATAGTAATTTCGGTCAATTTTCCTGACGGATAAACCGAGATCAGGCTGGATAAACAGCTCTCTGTAATATTTCAGCATGCTTTCACAGGTAAAAATGACATCTGGCCCTGCTCATCATTTTCTCTAAATATAGCTGTATATATGGCTATTACACGATCATAATACACTGTGATATAGCCTGGGTCGTTAGTTCGTTGCATGGTTTTGTTTTCTCACTACAATCGATCCGCTCAGTAGGGCAGAGACCGTCTCATTCAGGCGATCTCGAACTGATTGATTTGGCGCGGATGCGAGCGCAACTGCTGGATATATGCCAAACAAACTAACGGGGGAAACGAGACAGATTCCGAAACAAACGTCTATGTGTGAAAGCACCGTAAGATTGTATTTGCATATATTGACAGACAGTCGCAGCACACAGCTCTGACTCAATCTGTCAGTCAACAAGGCAGCCCTGTACACTGACCCGAGCGTCTCGCACGCTGGCTCCGGGCTATCGGGCAGTCCTTATTAGCCGCGTTTCCACTATCGCGCCTAAAGCGAGCGAGCCAGGGCGAGCCAAGGCCAGTGGGGTTTCCACTGTCACTTCCGGGGCCTAATCGGGCCAAAGCGGGGCTTTCTTGGGGCCAGCGGCCGGCCTTTTTCGGCCCGCCGAATACCTTGGGCCAAGGAGGGCCAGCTGGGGCTTCGGGGCGGAGTGAAAGGAGAGGCGGGCAGTTTTCTGATCGCACATGAGTACATGCGCCAAACAAATAAAGAAATAAAGGAAAGAGAACAGCTAGCCTTATAGTCTGGGGTCTTTTTGCGTATGATCACCCTTATGTTTCCATTTTAAATGTAAGGCTGCTGCATAAAATAATAAAGTAGTTTTAATTTATAGTGACGTTTTTTGCTGCGTCCTCCTTTATGTTTCAATAACGCATAATAATCTTTACACCATATTAAAGACACAGCAGACAGTAAAGGTTTTCGAGAGTTTTTGTCAAATTTAAAATGTTTGTTTGTGCGCGTTTAGATGCCTGTATGTGTGTGTGAGAGACCGGGCTAAAGCGCTCCTTCACAGCTCTGTTATGCCGCGAGCGGCTTTTTTCTTTATTGATTTTGGAGATAATACACAATATAAATACAACAGAAGGACATACAACTTAACAAAATACGTGCCCACTTTCGTAGACTTTAAACAATATAGTGTCATATCTTGATAAAATAGCCTAAGCTTTAATGAAATATAATTTAAAGAATTACAAATATCGGATATATATAAAATCACATTAAATAAATAAACCAATATAAAATAAACAAAAGCTAGTTATATGTAGGTTGCCTATATACAATACATAAATCGAACCGTTTTAAAGCCACATATAGCCTAACTTTCATTTTACAAAGACCTGTCTGAAAAAAAAAGATGTTCGATATTTTATAAAAACAATTAACACCGGAGAAGGTTTGAAATATTATTTATAAAGTATTTGGATACGATGATATTAATCAAATCGCTCTAACAGAGCCTTATTTGAAAGCAGAATCTAGCCTATACCTTTTTTTCTGTCACCCAGTCCTGCGCAGCGCTCGCTGCTTTAAACGCATCGGGGGAAAGTCCAAACACAAAATGTGTTCTATATACTCAAACAACTGTTTATGTTTTTATATTACGTGGTTAAATTTATAAATGAAACTTTAAATGAAGAGCTTTAGTGAATAGCTGCCGAGCGCAACAAATATGGCTATATTTTTTAAGGCTACTCGCTCTTATGCTGAAACACTTAACACGACTTCTATCAAAACGAGGATGTTATAAAATACATGCAATATCGAGCTATAAAGGAGAATTTCTGTGGCTTTATATTATGGATGTGTGCGCTCTCTGTGATGGGTCCCTGCGTTCGGCAAGAGCAGTCGATGCACAATGCCAGTTGGTCGGCGAGTAAACAAATGTAATGAATGGAAATACACAGGTCTGTGCGTATAGACATTTCATGTACTGCTGTACAGTAACATGTCATTTGTTTGTTTCTGTTTTCTTCATTTTAATGGTTTCGTTTCGTGATGATTCTATGGTGTGCTTTATCTGAAGTGGGCGGGCTGTGTGACGTTTGATTCGGGGACGTTCTGTGGGCGGTGTTTGCGTGACGCGCTGTGAGCTATTAGCCCGTCAGTGGAAACGCGACATGATTTCGGCCTCATTTTTCTCAACCTCGCGGGCTATTGGCCCGGCCCGGCCCGATTAAAGCCCTGGCTCGCACTGGCCCGATAGTGGAAATGCGGCTAATTTGTCGAGCCCTGAAGGTTTAAGCTCTGTCGATGGGTCTCCTGCATCTGCACAGTTTAACAAGCACTTCAACAAGCGTGTTTTTTCCCGCTTGGCAAGCCAAGCTGACGTGACATGGGGGCGTGGCAGCATCGACGATTCTATTTTTTGATTCGATAATCGAAATCGAGCATAAATTTCGATCGATCCTCGATTTCAAATCGAAATCGTGACACCCTTATAAATAATTCAGTGTTTCCCACAGGCTTGAAATATACTTTCAAGAGTAACCGGAATTAAACACCTTTTACCCACATCACATAAATAAACTATATATGACAAACAAAACATATCTAGATTTTTCAAAATATTTTTATTTATTAATAAACTGTAATAATAGGTTTAAAAGTATAAAAAGATTGTTAAATTTAAAAGGAAATACACTATTTATACATTTTATTCCAGAACCATGTGCACCTGCTGACAGTTAAAATCTCGCATGCAAGTTTAGGTTGCTTCATTGGCATGGCTTCATTGGCATGACCTTTTGTACAGTATTGCCAAAGCATTTTAGATGTATAAAATATGTAACATATTGACATCATCAAATTAAAATATATAGCAAATGAGAAATAAATAAAAAGGAATACAAACAATATTTCAAAAAACGTGTAGATTTAATTAAGGCAAATTAGTTGATTAACCATTTGTGATGCTGTACAAATACTTTGCCTATTTAGATTTCGTCCTCCGGGTGTTTAGTAAAGTTTTTCTGAGTCGTTTATTTTAAATTATTTATTATTTAATATTTATCTCACTCTCGCGACTGTGCGCATAAAATTAACGACAGGTTTAAAGAGCGAAAGGAAAAGATAAATCTCTAACATTTAAAAAAAAACCTGGCCGGTGTGGGTCTCCAGAGTGGGGATTTCCAGAGCATGTGAGATTCTTTTGGAGTTTTGGCAGTCCTCGGGCAGTACAAAATATGTAAACAAGAGAAATTTTCAAATACGTAATCGATCGAGGATGTTTGATTATAGTGGATAGATTTTTTTTTAAAAGTGTGAAAGTATGTGTATTCCAAAGATGAACAGATGCCAGATGTGATTGAAAAGACATAAGGGTGAGTAATTAACAACTTAATTTTTGGGTGAACTATCTATTTAAAAGTCCTCATTTTATGTTCAGAAGTCATAAATAATGAATTCAGCTTTGCCTGTACATGTTTTTGACT